GTGTGTGTGTGTGTGTGTGTGTGTGTGAGAGAGAGAGAGAGAGAGAGAGAGAGAGAGAGAAACCTGACAAGCTTCATGGTGAATTGGGGGTGAGCACTCGGTTAACTACTCTACTTTCTTTCTATCGTAACAGTCGATGTGGAGAGGCTTCCATCCGAAAGGGAGGGGCGTTTCCATGATGCCATCCACAAAAGGATGACGGCGGAATGTCGCTTGATTTCCCGTGACGTGGGTAGGAGCATTGCTGACCTCGTGAGCCGACCTGTTCGTCGGTGCGTGAGACCGATGTGTGACAGGTCGGGGAGTGGGTGCCCTAGGCGCGGGTGGGGGGTGAGAGACTGAGTGCCCCTCTTCCTCGTGTTGGTTATTCGATGGAGGGGGTTGATCAGAAGGGCACCGAGGAAGCTAGGCACGAATACATTCATTCTCAGCGCGCAGCGCCGCTAGTCAGCTTCGGTAGCGGTACGTAGCACCGCTAGGTCAGTTTCGTGCTTGGCACGCATGTTTCGCAGATTGGCGTTGTGTTGTTGCCGCATCTGCTCGACCTGTTCTATCAGTCTTCTCAATGATGCTGCGTCACCCATGCTTGTCGCGTGATCAGCGTCGTCTGTTGCTCGTCTGCTATGGCTTCTGGTGAAAACCATACGGGTGGCCGATAAGAGCCGTCTTGATCGGCCCCACGGTGGGCGCCAAATGTTCTTACTAGAAATCTGCTGTAAAGCTGATCCGCCAGGTAAGATCGGTGAGCCTCCTTCACTGATACGCTGGTGCTCCAAGATGGGGGTGGTACCTGCAAAAGAGACTCCGATGCTAAAGTTAGGGTTTGTATGAGTGTGAGTCTCGTATAAATAATGGACGTACCTGGGTGTGAATTAGGATTTTTCTGGACCTTGGGCCCGAGATCAGTTATGACCTAATTGAATAGTGGACCTCGTCTTGGCCGAGGTCGCCCAGCGCGTATTCGAGGTCGTCTTGCGCTGTGATACCGAGCTCGAGCTCGGTAAGACGGTACGGATAGTACAATTATTATTTTTTTAATCATGAAATTTATCTTACAAACAACTTTATGTTTGTGAGATGAGACCTGACTTAATTGGAGAGGAGTAATACTTTTTTAGAAAAAAAATAATTAAAAACCTTCAATTATTTTACTTTTTTTTTTATAATTAAACATCTCCATCTTTTTTTCTTATATTTATTTAACACCCTTAAATTTCTTATTTTTAACTCAGAATTTGTATATATTCATTCGATTAAATCCTTCAAAAGTCCGTTTCGCTCAAAACTCACTAAACAAAATATTAGATCTCACATGAAATAAAAAAAATGCCAAAATTTCCTTTTCTTCAAAGGAGAATCTCACGTCCCACTGCATCCTTCAAATTTAAACTATTTGTACTATTTTTTAATTTTTTTTTTATGTAGAAGACTACGATTGCAAAGTCTAAAATGGGAGAAATAAAAAAAGAATAAAACTTATTATAATAGACTTATTTAAACATTTATCCGAATAAAAGTGCCTCTATATATATTCAAACATTAATTTTAAATAATAAAAGTGCCGAGGCCTTAATGTGATGATGGATAAGATTCAATAAATGTTCACGATTTCTATCCGAATAGGAGCAAAGGCTTTGAGAATAGAAACTAAAACCCAATTTGCTTTTTTAGTACACTCCAGATTTCTAATTTTCTATAAGTAGTTTTAAGTATAGCATTTTTAGTAATGTCATTTATATAATATTTAATAACATTTTTTACACACATATTGTCGTATTGATCTCTAATATATTTATCTTATCCCACAGTAGTCTTTTATTTCAATCGCTTTCTTTTGTATATATTGTCTAACTCTCCATTATGTCAAAGCACAAAAAGTAAATATTGTTTAGTGTGCGACAACTCAATGTGTGAAACGTATTGTTTATTGAATAATAATAAATTTTACTCAAGTTTATTAAAATAAGTTAAAAAGAGCCTATTGTGATAAGTTTCACCGAAAAGCCTATAGAAAAAAAAAAAGGAAAAAAGACTTACAGAAATCATGTCTTTTGTTATAAAAACAAATAAATTCGTAAAAACTTTTCCGAACACTTTTCCAGTGCATTTCAAGGTATAATGTACATTGCTAGGATATTTGTAAATCCACAATTTAAAAAATTAATAAATTTAAAAATAATGCAATAGATATCATTTATAAGCAATAAAAATATAAAAACGTCTGAAATTTTTAATTGATAAAACCTTATAAATTAGTTCGACAATAAAATAGTTTTAGTAATGATTTATAAATATCCCATTATACCTAACGATTGAGAGCAATATAAGTATTGATCTAAATAAAAAAGGCAACTAATTTTTTTATTGGATACCCGATTAAAGGAAAAAAAAATTAATATATAATAAAAACTGACGAGATGCATTGCAAAATGAAAGGCACGTTAGAGAGTATATATAAAGATTATTCTGCTTTCTATAAAAGTGAATTTCTATAATAAATTTATGGCATAAAAGTGAATTTCTAAACCAAAATAATAGTATAAAAGTGAATTTAGGATAAAAAATAACTCAGATAAAAAGATTAAATTTCCTTCAAATTATAGAAAATTCTGAATCTGAGTTTTCGAATGATAGAAAATTTAAGATTATATAAACGCATTACTATGAGCTATTCCGTGTGGAACTTGTCCACGTAAAAGACGATGAACAATCACCTCACAAAAAGGGAGAATGAAACGGAAGAATAACACCAAGCACAAGACCTTTGGTACAAAAAGAGAATATTTTCTTTCATTCCACCAGTCAGGTAACAGTCTACAAAATTGCAAAGCCCAAAAAAAATACGATACCACCATGTCCAGCATAAAAATGTGGAGGAAAATGCTAGCAACTCAATTTCGACACTCTTTCCAATACTATCGGATAAAACCTCATGTTGGTCATACTTATACAGAGATTAGGTTCAAGTTATTTAGTGATGCCAACATGAGATTTCACCCAATAATAATATTAAAGAAAAGTGCCTAAGACTACAATATGTTACTAACATTACCCCTATGGTGGAATGGCCTTCACATGTTAATACTATTTTGTGTGTAGGATTCGGCATTTGGGGGATGATATTAATTGCAGGAAAAAAAGGGGGGGAGGGGGAAGGAAAACAAAAAAGGGAGCCCGCAAAAGCAGAAGATTCACTACTCCTATGAAGTTTCACCAGCACTATCTATAATCTATTTCCCTAAATCTATAGTTAACCAAGTTCAATACCATTTTGTTTAGCTGCTTCAACAACATCTTTTGCATCTCCAGTGGTCTTACATAGCTTATAGAAGCATTTCCACAACATGATAGAAAATGGATACACTGATAGAGCCCTTCTATAAAACCTGTCAAATATTGTCTCAAAGCCCACAGCATTGTGCAAAAGCTCTGCAGCTTCCACCCAGACGTATTCTGGTGGTATTGGCATGGCATCCAAAATTGCATTTACCAGGGTTGAACAAGCCCAAAACCATAGACTGGCTGAGTTTAATTCAGAACAATTGTATTCTTTGACTAATAGCTTGCAAACAGTAAAAGCTAATTGGAAGTTGTGAGGAACTGCCTCCAGAATGGCCTCAACAAAATCCACCAGATGTTTGGGGTCACTAATAGTTTGGGGCAAAAGAGATGAACCAAACCATGATTGAAGTATCAAATTTAGCAGAGAACAGTCAAATGAAACTGGAGTTAATATGTTACCAATAAGATGCTGTACTCTTGGCTTCTTGATGTTGTCAACAAATTTTCTTGTCAACACATTAGGGACTAGCAGTGCCTGAGATGAACCATCTGTATATAACTCCAAAATCTTCTTGATGGCACTATCAGGACCATTCTCCTTCCAGCCTGACGCATCATAAACCAGAAACATCACATATTTTTTCATACATTGCTCTAAACTTGCAAAACTAGCAATACTCCTAGCCTTGTCAACAGCTATGCATGCTGCTGTTTTATCATTCTGTAAAAAATTATAGAGAGACAGATTAAGAAATCCAAACATCGTATCTATCTGTTTACGATCAGAACTGGATCTGTCTGAAACAGATTTTGAATCCAATCCCAATGAGCAACAAGTATTACCACCATCAGTGGTCTCCATCCCTCCATTTGGGAGGTCTTGTACTTGCCATACAGAGTGAAACCATCGGACTGTAATTGATTTTGCAAGATCAATTCTTTGATTGTGGATGGCATTTTCAATGTACTGATTCCAGATGCACTGGATTCCAGGAACTTCCCTTGGCCATCTCCTAATGGCTTCCTCAAATTCCATGAAACTATCAACATCAATATACTGTTTTTGTATTTGAGCTGATGCCAGGACCAATTCTACACAGGAAGGATACAGTTTAATGTATTTATCCAGCAAAATCCTTAAGCATTCTCTGCTATCAAGAGCAACCATGCATCTTAGATGATTGAGAGCAAAAAGTTGAGCAGACCTGAGATTAACTTCACTTTTTACTGATTCATTATAGACATAAGAATCAATAGATTCAACAGCTGTTTCCACAAGTTTAACAACCATCTGCTTGTCATCTTCAGATAAGCTGATAGAGGGCCATTCAATCTCAAGGAGATCTTTATCGGATTCAAACTTCTGAAGCACAGCATTGGGAAGTCTCCGGTAAATAACTAAGTAGACACAACAAACCCAGAATACACATTTGTCAGAAATTGTTAAGCAATTGAGTATATCTGAGAGTGACAGATGATGATGAGGCGCATTGGATTTTTCTGTAGCACGGAATATTCCATAACCCCTTTCAATGGCTTTCTCAACATTCCCTGACATGCATAAGCAATGCATCATCTGCAGAAACAGGTCTAAAATGCATGCACTTTCATATATTATGTCCTTGGGACTGGCAGATGCATGCTGACAGAGCACAGAAAGGGCAGTATCATAGGCAACCAATCGATCAAGAAGTTTTCCCCGACTATTAATATACATGAGCCACAGTACATAAGATTCTTCACAGATTTTAACCTGGAAAATAACAGTTGAGTGTTTTCACAGCACACATTCAGTTCTCAAAAGCAAGGCTAAACATGCTAACAAAAAGTTAAAAAGAAAGATAACAAAAGGTTCTTTCTTCTCAAAGAACATAAGGAAACAAGCATCGCATTGGATTCTCTCTTAATATCTACATGGATAAAAGACCAAATAAGATTAAACACAAAGGCCCACTTTCCTACCAAGACTATTTGTTTTAAAAGATTTTTAATTCATCCATTCACCCATGAGGCCATCACAACCTGAATATACTTGCCAACAACCAGACTTTTATAAAACGATAGACAGGTTCTAACAATTTATCATTTTAAATGATGGGCCAATATATAGTTCAACTATACAGCTCAAACTTCCCCTTATGATATGTTAAGTAATGGGAACCATGTATCTTGGATTTGTGTTTTCTCTTCTATGTGGTAATAGAGGCAAGTCGGTCAGGCAGCATTAATTATCACATAAATCAAAAGACAAGACCTAGCAGGTAATTCATAATGCTACTGCCTAGTGCCTCTGGTATCAGGAATCTGGATAATAAATAAATAGGTCTGTCAGTATACTAAGTTTACCATCAATAGTATAACTATATTCTCAAGAACTCCCCATTTTTCGGACGAAATATTCTCCAGAGAACACTCCACATAAAAGTAGGAAGCAAAGAAAAACATACCGCACACAAGAACATGTCATCCTTTTCATTTGGCTTCAAATTTCCATAGTAAATGAGTAGATAAACAATCCAGAGAACCACAGATGTTGGATCATTCTCCAGAGCTTTTGACAGTACAGATAGCGCCTGAGAATTCCAAATTTTGAGAAGGATAGACAGACAAATTGTAACACTAATAATCAAGACAGTGAATATACAACTGTTACCTTTCTTACACCCTGCAATTTATTAATTTCCTGGTTGAGAATAAGAAGAGCCATTTCAACAGCTTGTTCACTATCAGCCATAGCCTGCTTAATTTGATTCTAAGTATGCAATAAATAAAGGAGAAATTAGCATGAATAAAGGAATACAAGGAATCCATAAATTTGAACTAATAAGATGTGTTGACCAGGGCAATGGTTAAGCACGCATTATAGCCAATAAGAGGAAAAGGAAGTTCTCAATAAAACTGAGGGTGGGAAAAACTCCTTATACAAAACAAATACTTTTTTACTCCAAAGTTCTCTAATCAACTCATTTAGCCATATAATCATGTCTACAAACTCTTTGGTTAGTTCATTTAGTTACATAAACAGCCAACATATTACAATATATGTACATGCATTAACATGCACAAGTACACAAAATATAAGAATGGTTATATTTTAAAACAAATTTAAAATAGTGGATCATTGAAATATTCAAAACCATAATATCATAACTAGCATGGAAGTGTGACACTGGACAGAACCACTAAAGGGATAAGAGAGGACTAGATATTTCCTGGCATGTGGTGACCTAGAATCCACTAGGTAGAAACTTTGAATTTACCAGAACAAAAGGAAAAGTTCTTGGAATAATATATATGGCTATAAAAGTTAAAGTTTTATCTTGTTTTACAAATAGTAGGTCCCTCTATAGGCACAATAAAACTTATTGGCAAGCATTCATTTTTCTAGGACTTTCCAATAAACCACCAAAGTATAACCAAATTAAATCCTAAAAATGATTCCTATAAAACCAAAATTAAATCATAAAACATCAAAAATATAGTTACAGTTGACCCATTTTGCTCACTTCTGCATCTGAGCGATAACCTTGGAGTCTTAGACTGAAACATAATTAAAGAGATAATAATTGAAAACCAATAGAAGTGTAATGAACAAGGAAAATAAAAAAAAAATAGTTAAAAGCAACAAACCCCAGCTCCACTTCTCAAATGAAAAGAAGATAATTGTTTGTTCCATGCCCCATGGACCTCTATGCGTTCATCACCACCATGCAATAATGGTCCATTGGCAAGTAAACCATTTCCATGCAGGTTCGAAGTAGCTAAAGTAATGGTGAAATGCTTCTGCCAGCATTGAGTATTTCTATGTGCCACAACAGGTTTATATGCAAATTGATTTGCTTTGAGAGTATCTAAACCAACAAGGTAAGTTGGCAGAATCGTAGCTTTGTGACAATTGGGAACTTTTCTCACTCCATTACAGTCCTGTTGATGCAATGGTAATCTACCTTGACAATCTACAGTATCGTTTATAACAATGTCTTCAGAAAGAAATCTTAATAATATACATCAGAAACTATTTAAAAGTGGCTGATATCAAAATGAAATTATACTTCATAATTTGTAATTGTAATCCACTTATTAATATTAACTTCTGTTCATATCTAATAGTCAATGATGATTGTGTTACCAGCATTTATTAAGTGTCAAATCAATATGCTACAGAATTCTAGTTTTCTACTTTTTTTTGCTTCTGATTTTTAATAAAAAGTTTACCCAAACATCTCTAAAATTTCAACAAGTACTTTTTTTTTCTTTAAAGAAGTGCTTTTTCTTTTGGAAATTAAAAAAAGAAAACTTTAAACAAACGGATCCATAAGCTATTATTTATGCCCAAATGTTAATTCTACTGGAACAAATATAACTATAATCTCTCCCAGATGCACTCATTTTTACATAGTATCATCCATTCATCCTTCACTAACCTACTTATATCTTACACACAATATTTAGTTCAGCTTTGGAAAGCACCCAAAAAAAAATCATTTTTCATAAAGTTCCCAAATATAACAATAATGAAGACAAGACAAATAGGTTTCAAAGTTCAAACTACCACTACTTTTTATACCTGCATTATTAGAATCACTGCGCTGAATGTTTCCATCACCATAGTCATTCGCATGCTGCCAAGGACACTCATCATTGTTGCATTTTCCTCGCAGATCATACATGCAAAGTGGCCAAAACGGATCAACTGCAGAACTATAGCCGTAAGAGCTGTCATCTGAGAGTAAGTTTCCGATAGTGACAGGCATTGAGATTGCTAACATATTGCTACAATTTGTTTCATCAGAACTGTGGGATGTAGCATTTTCATTTTGATCATCATTAGCATGAATAAACATATTTTTATTCTGTAATTGATTTGAATTGAATGGAAACATTCCTCTCAGCTCACTGAATGCACTCCTAAAAATCAAAGGCCAGGCGTTCGTTGTATTTGTAGAGTGGTGACCTTGACAAGGCATATCTCCTCGAACTCCTGCACCAATGCTGCATTTAACATTCAAAGAATTTCCACCAATGTTCTGCCGGCTTTGAATTTCACTCAAATCCACAAAGATACTCCTTTCATGACTATCAACCCCTGGAGTTATTGAACAAAATAATCAATACAAGTGATAAACATTCAAGTTCATGAAAAAAACTTGATTAAATAGAACTAATATGAACTAGGGATTCCTCATATTTATGGACCAAGAGCAATTGGACTTATATCTAATCAATACTGTAGAAATGCTAAGAAAATGTGCGTATTATCACACATGTAATCCTCTATTTATAAGGATACAAAATAAGGAAATGCGAAAATAAAAGATAACAAGTAATAATGAGTGGAATCCCTAATTTTATACAAGTTTCCCTAATTACAAAGGAATCATATCATATCAAATCATATATTTAACAATAGCTTGCTACACTGCAATTGACTGTGTAGTATTTCTAGATCAGTGGATCTTGGACCAAAATATATACAACTTCAATATTTGAGAGTCTCCTTATAATTGTTCTTCAGCAGTCAGCCATATTATTTAAACATTTGGAGAATATATGAAAACCGATACGTATATTTATTTACAAATAAATAAATTGAAAATCTTGATATGAGCACACTTAAAAATTTCAGCCACTCAAACATAACCTATGCATTTGGAGTACCATCATAAAACTGCACAAAAGCCAAGTTATAATAAATTTCTCTACAACAGGCACCTTATCAACAATTTCTATGCAGCACAGAAAGGATCACATGGATTCAATAAAGGAAACAAATTGTGCTCAAAACCAATATTGATTGAGATAAAAACCTTTCATCAAATATATAATAGATAATTTAAGCACACTGCCATTAGAAATGGGCAACAGCAGACATAAGTTAAATTAAAATATATGCACAAAAAAAGCATTCACATTTAACTGTTTTTAAGAGAGTAAGTCTTACATCGACTTGACAAGACAAATACATGTATACACTATACAGACTTAGGTTTACTCTCTTTTTTTTTTTTTTTTTGCATTACCAGTTGATACAATCCTAATAATCCAAAACATTTGAAAATAAGATTATATTTTAGCAAAAATAGATAAGAGCATATGAATATACAGTTTACTAAAGCAACATATGAATATTCAGGATCAGCAACACACACCATAGCATACTAATTGAAGAAAAAAAAAATGAAAAAAACAGGAAAGAAAAAAAAACCTTTAAGCTCATTATCTTCTGCCATAGAGAGTGGAACAGTAACATTTTGATGCACCTGGGTTTTTTCATGTCCAACCTCATTTTCAGCCTCTCGTTCAGCGGTAGGTTCTGCATCATTACATGGATTGCTGCTCTTCTTAGCTCTTGCCCCCATTCGTGCAAATAATTCAGATCTTAATTTTGCTTCAAGAAGCAAAGAATCCTGAGGATCATCAGTTGAAAAATTTGCATTTGATGTCATATCTATATCCACTAATTTGGACTTAGAGTATTGTTTTCTATGATACTCAGCATCATGGTGATTAGAAACATGCCCAGATGGAGAGATCTCTTCATTTTCATTAGCTGAGGTATCTAATTCATCTGAAGGAGAATAAACTCCATCTGCAGCATCATTATCCCTTTGAGGCAATGGCTCTGATGTACTGGCATCTGGTTCACCACAAGGTTCAGACCCTAAATTTGCTTGAGTCACGTGGTGATTGGATGTATTGGAATGCCTATTATTGATATCTCGGTTATTGGAATCAAAACTTGGATTATTAATATCATTATACTCAGCCTGCCTCTGACAGCTTGCTGTGGGCATTTCATATCCAAGTCTAGGTAAGTAATCCAACCCTATATCAGGATGTTGGTGCTGCCCTGAAGACCAAGCGAAGCCAGAATTATTTAAAATTAAAGACCTTAACTTAGCTGAATACAATTCCCTTTTATGATAAAGATTGGAGCATCGAGCATTAGCCTCAAGCAAAGACCTCTGAGCTTTAAGATAAGCTTTAAGTGCATTTCTTTCTTCAATTTCGCACTGGTGCCTGAGCTCTTGAGCTTCCTCCAGTTCCTTGTCTATCAATTCTTCCATACTAAAAAATGACTGTAAATCTACACTGGTATGCTCTGAGACATTTCCATTGCCATTATGATTGAAAAGAACTGTATTATTGCTTAATGCTTCCTACATGAGAGAGGAGAGAGTCAAACAAGATGGAGAACTATTATGTCAGATATATTATAGACCTCTTTTCAGTGTTTAATATCAGTACACTTTATCAGGAAGGACCTTGATGGATGAACAAATGCTAAACTATTCTGCTTTGTTAAAGGCAACAGACACAAGATAATATAAATAAATTCAAAATTATATTAGCACTGTTGTTGTATTGTCGAAAGTTTAACTTGGCAGATCTTATGACCTATTCGGACCTACACTCTTCTTAAGATCAATGATGAAAAGAGACACACTGATTGCAAGTTCAAAAAGTCCATCCTTCACTTATAAATCAAAACAGAGTCAGTCCATCATAGTCCATAGTAAATTACATAGATCAACTAATGGAGATTTCAGGGAAGTCACCAAGTAAAAAAGCAAATGCCATGCATAGCAAATTATAACTTATTGGCAATCACTGAACAGAAAAATGCAGGCATAGTTTCAGTGGAGTCACTGAGTAAAAGCAAATGTCATGCATACAAAATTGTAACTCACAAAATTTTTCGGCACACTATTGGAACTTATATTTGCTGGCACTGCATTTTGGTTGAAAGCAACACAAGGGTCCAACAGCCTACTACTCTTCTCAGTTTGATTGAGACGATAATTGACATCACCTACACAGTATAATTAGACCATGAGAGATTCTAAACAGAAAATAACTTAACACATGTTTTACTGGCTGGTATCTGGGCTAGGTTGCAATCAAGTGATCAGCTTTGTTATACTTACCCAAGTCTTTTAAATCAAAACCAAGTCCCATAGGATTAGACAATAATATGTTACACATTCCTATAACATGGCAATATGTGGCATCAAATTTGCAATGGCACTTGGAAGCACCTTTGCATAAACTTGTGATCAGAATATGGAGGTATGCTAATGAAAATACAATGTGATAAAAGCCAATAAGTTATTGAAATAATAAAAACAAATTTGGGAGACATTTGTTCAATTTTGGGGATTTAGGAATGTGATTGAGTACAACTAGCTTGATTAAAACCTTTCTCAATATCTAAAATCCGGTGTAGTACAACAGAGTTTCTGAGCCAATTTGTAGACCAAAATTGTTCAAGATACAGATGATATTAAAGGCAAAGTATTTACCATCTCTTGATCTATGAGGCATATTTTCTAATGAGTTGTCAAGATGTTTGTCAGGTTGCCTTTGTGATACAATGGTTGTTGGCTCTGCTCTACATAATGGAATCTCTTTTTGTCCATGATCAACTTTGTTTTCCAAAGTATAAGCTTTTGGTGGTAATATAGATTTAACAGCAGGAACTTCCTGCTGACCCTCA